CAGATAGACAACATTAGTGTTGAGCTCTGAGTAAAAAAGTTTAGTTTTAGAAGATTTGAGGAACATTATCTATCTATAAAAAGATCACAGTAAAGTTTTTAAAAAGAATAAACAGTTTAACCGCAGGAGGTGACCTCACCCACCGAGCCCGTTAGAGCGCGCTCGTCATTTCTCAGGTGCAAACATCACCTCCAGCAGAAAGCCAATTACAGCCACATGTTTGCAGATGTACACGAGGCCCAGCGGAGGGTCGGAGCGAGCTACGCCCCGGTGACAGATCACCGGCGCTGAGTTAGCACTCTGCCGCAGCCTCTGCCCTCAGGTGACCTCCAGGAGGCTAACAGGCTCTCCCTGGGGTTCCTGCAGCGGACACCCTGGATGCAGGTTGCCATAGTGACCGGCAGGCAGGTCACTAAGGGCCCGTGACGTGGATGGATGAGAGCGAGAGAGAGGTGAAGAGCGAAATACGCAGGAGGAGGGTAAAGGTGGAGGAGAGATAAAAGACGAGAGCGGGAGCAGCAGAGGACAGAAGGAGGAGAGGTGAGTCGGCCTCCTGCGAGTTCTGTAATGGGGTCGTGACACAAGGAGAAGAAAAAGAGCGGAGGATGAATAAAAGAAAAGATAAGTACGGAGGACAAAGGCAAAGAAGTGCGAAGTGTCAGGACCTGAAGGATCGGACTCGTGAAGGAGAAACGTTAGAGGAAGATGGTTTCATACAAGGAGATTTCAAACGGGAGCTGACGGAGGACGAGGGAAACCTTTTTTAATGAACACACACAAACTTATGGATTCTTTACAATTCGAAGAGTTCACCGAATCAAAAACATGACATCATGGTTCCACAAAGCTGAGAGGAGCAAACGGATTCTTTGTCGGTGTTTCAGTGAACTGACCCTTTAAACCGAACCACAGCAGCACAGAGGACGAACTGTACATCTCCCTCCAGATGTTGGACGGTTTAACTCTGAATACAGATGTTGTTCCACTAAACTCACACAGGGAGCAGTGAAGGCAAATGTCCCAGAACTAATTTTGAACATTTATACTCAAGTTGTATGATATTTACAGGCTCTATACTTAACGTAAGCTTGTATATATTTAAATAAATTATGAAACGTATATCACCTCAATGTCTCTCAGAAACATCTGGACAAAGGATGCAGGAGGAATTAAGCCAACGAGCTCCTTATAGATAAATGAATCTAATGATTTATTGTCCCTTTGCTTTAATAATTAATAATTTACTTCTAAAAACATGGTGGTCGCAGCACCAGGATAAAAAGGCCTGATGACTAAAATCTGAATTATTAACGAGCCTCAGACAGAAACAGCCTCAACTGAACCTGATTAACAGAAGATTGAATAATTAATTCATCTGTCAATTCATCCTGGAACGTGTTTGATTATAATTTAGTTTTTAACGCAGCCACAGCTTTCAAGAAACCAGCTCAGAACATAGAAACAGAAAACTTAACCAATAAAAAAATATTAAAACTTAAACATAACCTCATCACATTAATAACAACTAGAGGAAGGCAGAATCAGGAAACGAGTTACAACACAAGTTTTCAGCTTTTCTTTAAAATAACTCAATAACAATGAGGACGTCAGATCAAAGTCTGTGCTCGTGTTTTAAAGTGAAACAGGAAGTGAGTCTCCTGAGTTTAAAACAACTTGACACTGAGTCGATCTGAATGAAAACTTGTTTCCATGAATCTGAGCTCTCGTCGTCTCCGTCAGTGTGTCAATAAAGCTCAAACGAAATGGACTCAACTGCAAACTCTGCATCCGCCTCCTCCTCCTCCTCCTCCTCCTCCCAGCTGTGAGTGAGCACCATCCACTCGCTCCTCCTCAGCACCTCCTCCTCCTCCAGCCTCCTCTGCCACGACACCCGTGACATGTCTCCTCCAAAGATCCGAACCCGGGACTGAAACAGCAAACGATGTCCATAGACGACGCAGGTAGGGAGGGATGCTCTCACGCCTCCGTCCACCTGCTCACGGCCTCATCCTCTCGTCTGGAGGTCGCCTCCAGCAGCTGCTGCCGCACTTCGCCGCCGGCACGTGAAAAAAACAAAAAAGGCTACAGCCGCCTAATCGGTGATGTCATCGTCCAGCCTGCACCGCAGCTCCGGCGTGTGAACGTCTCCAGATGTGCTCAAGTCAAGTTCCTCACATTGTCCCGAAGCATTCGAACAGGCTTCACGCACGTACACACACCTCCCCTTCTACGAGACACCCCCCCCGGCCAATCAGAAGCAAAGGAATCCCCTCGAATTCCCACCCATCCCAAAACGCTCCAACCGCACCTCCTTCGCCCCTCCTGCTCGTCTGGGAGCGTCATCCGTCAGCCCCTGGTGACTGCTGGAGTGTGAAATTAAAATCCAGGATGTGTGTGTGTGTGTGTGTGTGTGTGTATGATTGAGAGATAGTTTGTGTGTGTGTGTGTCCCAATAGAACAGAAGGTCAATAAGAGGCCTCTGGGAGCCATCATACCCCCCCGCCCGCCCCAGGCACCGCAAAACTGAGCTAATAGAGATGTCACCACCGCCACACACACACACACACACACACATGTAAATACACTTCAACATTCAGAGGAATACGAGCACGAACGCACAGATTGCATTCCCATCATGCCGAGTTTTGCGATTAGCGGACGTGAGTATGGAACAGGCGGCAGCAGCTGTGTGAGCGAGTTTTACTCCTCGTCTTTGTGCCTTCGGATGACATCACGCGGCGCTGACGGTTGTAACGGTGACGAGCGAAGGAAGGAGAGTCAGAGTCGTGAGTGATTCCACAGTGAGCAGAGCGTGACGGAGCCGTGGTCACGGTGTCTTCATCAGACGTCCAAACGCTTTGTTTATATAGATCACATGATTGTGCTGAGTTCACTGTTCATCGGTTTGATGAGTTGTTCCAATAAAACGAATTATGAATCAGTGATGAAACGTTTTCTTCGGTTTGTTGTAGAAGTTGTTCGCTCGCTGGAGCCTCGTGACGAACTGGTCCCGACTCCACAACCCGATCCTGTGGGAGCGTCAGTCTTCATCATCATGTGCTCGACCTCTGCTCGATGTGAAAACTAGTTATTAATTGGTCCGTGATGACAAACAGATGCCGACTCACTGGTTGACGGCTCACGACAGTGTAATCTATTACACTGGGTCAGAGAGTATTGGTTAAGTGAATGAAGTAATAAGAGAGGATTCTGGACACAGGGGAAAGTGAAGTTTTCTGATGTAAAATGAAATGAAGACAACTTTTATTTCCCTGCTATGATGAGTGAAAGTGTGAAAAGAGACTCGGTGAGTTTTCATAAATGATTTCTGGTGAAAATAAATGAACGTGATTAAAGAGTTCCTTTATAGAACAAGACTCATTCTGAATTTCATCTTTATATATTATATTAAAACTGAATATCCATCATATGTTTCATTCAATAGATTTGATTCTACTTTCTCTTTTTTAATATGAAGCACTTCGAATGCCTCTTGTGTAAATAATGAATAATAAATCTTGACCAATCAGGATCAGCAGATTTAAATATTTCAGATTGAAGAGTGAAATATTGTAAAAGAGGAAATAACCTTTTTTTTTTCATATGAAAATTAGTTCAATCATGATGATGAATCTTTGTTCATATTTCAAACTTTGAAGCTCTTTCTGTTTTCTGAGAGCTGCTGTGCAGGACAGTGAATAAACTCTGGACTCACATCTTGCAGCAGCTTCTCCAGGTTCTCCTGGAGCTCGTAGAAGTAGCGGGAGGTGATGAGGCCCTCTCTGCTTTTCTCCAGGCAGTCTCTGGACAGCTCAATCAGCTGATGGTGGATGAAGCTCAGGACCCCGTCGGCCAGCGGGCAAACCTTATCCGGGGCCGAGGAGCACAGCAGCTCAGCCAGACGCTCCTCCATTTGAGCCGTCGCCTGAGGGGAGGGGAGGCGAGGGGGGGGAGGCGGTGGGGGAGGGTGAGTCACAGAAGAGATTCACACACATATGAGACACACGGAGACGAGAGCAGGACAATGATTTATGTCACGGATGAATAAGAGAAGAGAATGAAATCATCAAAGTTTAGAATCGGTGTTGATATCAAGAGTCTCAGTCTAAACAGACCAGAGATCTGCACAGTTTAAATTTAAACCCCAGTGTATCAGCCGTAAACAGGAAGTGTGTGTGTGTTCAGTCCGAACCTTGGGAAACCTCTCCTTGTACACATGGTTCATCATCACGATCTCATGGTCGAAGGAAATAGGCGAGCGGCCGGGGCTGAAACAAAAACAGAAGCAGGTGAGCGGAGACGGAAGATGTCGTCAGCAGGTCGGACAAAGACGGAATTTACTCTGGACACAAACATGTGGACAGAAAAACTCGTGTTCTGTTCCTTGAAGGTCTGAAGATCCAGAACGCAGATTTAAAACTCCCCTGAGGAGGATGTTCATACTGATTCATGGGTACAGACGTTACACTAAACAAACATGTGCTGGCAGCAGAACTGAAGAATGTTTTTATTCTGGAGGAATCAGAAATGAAAATGATTGTGCAGTACTCGTAACATCTAAATCATCTTACATGAAGTCTTGTCAGCAGAGAACTGTCTCTACAAACAGGAAACAAGCCACGACATCAAAATGGATCATTAGAGACAAAAAGTATGTCGTGAATAAAACAGAGTCAGGTCCAGAGCGGAGGTTTGCAGGTTCACAGAGATGTAGGACTCTGTGTCAGCAGGATTACTCAAGAACTACTGAACACATCTCTACAAGACTTGGTGGGAGGACGGGACGCAGGTTTAAAAGAACTCCTTTAAATTCTCTTTGAGAGAAACAGAGTTTCACTGATCTGGTCTCAGATATAACCTGACATGTACGAGTGATGCTCCAGATGTTCTTCTCTGTAGAGGAGGGAAGTGCTGCCTGAGGCCGAGCTGCAGAAACACAAGTGACCAGACTGGATGTGCTAACCAGAGCAGAGACACACACACACACAGTAGCGGGACCTTGGGGTCTTCATCATTTGTGTGTCTGTAGTGTTGTAAACTGACGACCATGACAACCTCTGGACCAGCATGGCTGCACACAGAGTGGTGCAAAGGTAAGGCCTCTGGAGAGAGTGTGTGTGTGTGTGTGTGTGTGTGT